TAGATTATATACTATGTATAACTTGAATTATACACCAACAACTTTGGGGGTACAAAGTTGAAGAGAAATTATATCTGGGGGTACGCGAACAAAAAAAGGTTGAATACCACTGCACTACACTGCGTGACGCAATTACCCAGAAGATATCCACTGACAAAAATTACGCACGTTCACCGTTGGATGTGTTTCATCGTCCTTGTAGCAGGGGTAAATAATGAAACATTACAAATACTGGTGTCATAGTTCGTACGCCGTCAGAAGTTCGCATTTATATTCCAAACACACTGCACTATGTATACAAATATCATACTGAGGAACGGGAAACATATGCTTTCTTTACGAAAAAATAAAATAAGGAAAACAATGCACTCTTGTTACGATCAAATTTCTGAGTGGTCTTTAGTGCCCACAAAACGACGTCCTCCACTTGTAGAGCTTACTGCCTACCGCCAGGGGGGAGCGTAGAAACGGAGGCAGGACTTAATTTCCGACGTTAAGCTTGTTCAGGTCGAGTTCACTAAGTCCCTGTAGCAACGGAGGGTCTGTGCCCTTCGCGACTATCGCCAGAAATTATGGAGGCAACTCTCCGGATTGAGAAGTTCCTGGAAATCAAAATGGAACTTGTGGGAGAATTTAATAAAAAAAAAAGTTCTTCGTGGTAGCTCCTAAGCTGAAGAGTGGTGTGTTGTAGCAACCTTGAACGCCAAATGCCGAATTTCGCGATTTTCCGAACCTGTGTCAAATCTGTTCGACTCAGCTTCAAGATTCCTCAAAATGACCGATTATTTATCAGAGCTTTATTTATTTAACAGCGAAGAATATTTTTAAAAAAAACAATTCTCGTTTCACTTGAACACAATTCAAACTTCAGAAGTGAGATAAACCTTCCAGATCCTTTCACCACTCACCGGACAGTTGCAGATTAAAAAACGGAGATAACTTTAAGAAACCTGAACTTTCTGATAAATAAAAATTATTTTAAATGAAGTCTTACGTCCTTAGTCTAACAGTTCATACACCGGACTTCCTTTCAAACTTCGCGTATCAGTAAACATCCTAGAACCTCATTACATGCAAATGAAACTTAAATCAAAACTTCAATAACATTCAATATGCAAATCAACGTTTAACGTAAACCAAATTAAAAGCAAACAACCGAACATTTAAATTCTTCACGTGTGCGATATCGGGGAAAGGAAACTTCTTTAAAATCTAGTTTACTCCAAATTTCGTTAAGCGGCAAATCTCATCTTAATTCCATCCGGTGACTTGGAATCACCCCCTCATTATTGGCACAAGATTTAAGCTACAACCCTTCCCCCCAACCCCTCAACATCTCAGTGTCGACATGAAGTTAAGTAGAATCTCACCATGTTGCGAAAATAACCCGCGCGGCATCGATTTTAACTTTCTCTCCGAACTACTAAACATTTCACTTCGTCATAATTTTATACCACATTACCGACCAGTCCACCGAGTTACGTCCAACGCGGGAACTTTTATTCGTAATGTTTCCTGTTAACGGGTTTAAATTCAAAATATCTATCCTGAAGATGGAGGCAGTAAATACTTTAGAAACATCGTTAAATTTCTACGCGACTACACGGAGTTACATCCCAAAAGTCGGTCATTTTCATACTCGACTCCGTGAGAACCTTAAACCTCACGTACGATGACGAACTATACAAATAGCAATTTTCCGAGCGCTAAAAAGATTATCTGTCGTCTTCCCGATTGTGATAATGCGTTTTACCTGAAACGCATACCAACACAACAAAATCCCACCGTAAATATAATAAATATGACCCCCGCCGTCAAAACATTTGAGCACAGAACGAGTTTGTCTGAATGATTACTAGTAAACTTGCTTTGGTAAATTCTGTTTTCAGCTACGCTACACAGAAATATACTTTGATGTACCCAAAGAGACGAACCGACATCCATAAACGAGAACCCATAACCCAAGGTTTATCTTATCTCCCTTAAGATCCAACCCTAGACTCTCTCAAATTACTGACTTCAATTATATTTTGGATCTACGCATTCCCTATTAGGAACGCGGCCAGCTCACGCGGAAAAGCATTCCCTAAGTCTGTTAATCCAAGCGTCCAATCTCGCAGTTTTTAAAAAGACGAGTATATTCTCAAATACAAAGACTCTGAACTGTTAATGAATACGTCTGAGACGCTTACAAACAAAAACACAACTTAAAAAAATATCCACAAAGACGAATAGCTTGAGGGGCTTTGTCGTTCAATTAAAAACACAAATCAGATAAATTACCGTGGCTTGAATATATCACCCAACTAATAACTATATCCACGAGTTATTTAAAGATGCTGTTTCAAACACAGTGGTTATAGGCCAACAGTCGTATGAGACGTAAACAAGTTTAACGAAACGTTAATGTCATATTTCGTCTAAATAATGAGGAAAACCACGATGTTTCTAATGGCTGGGACGATCCTATGTATGGTGAAGGGCACAAGTTAGGCAGCTCCTCATTACGCAGTTTTCTTCAGTCACCTATCACTTCAACCCTCTCAGTTCCGAATATTCTCCTAAGCACCCTGTTCTAAAAAAAACCTTCAATGTGCGTCTTTTCATTATGGCGACTGACGAAGTGAACAGTGAAGGTACGGTATTTAATTACACATTATTTTATTATTATTTAGGGTTCTGTCTGACGACAGGTCCATATGAACAGGATCCTTCCATCCTTTTCTCGGACTGGGACCTGTTCATATACGTTCTTGGCCGATGATCCAGAAGTGGTTTGCCATTGCCTTCTTCTGTGTGTGAATGGAGTAATTGTTGGGATGCCACGGAGGAAAACTCCGTGTTGCCTAGACCACGGCCTTGCCCAACACAAGTTATAAATTCGGGCACCGCCGGGAATCGAACCCGAGACCCCCCAGGATTACAAGGCCAGCGTTCTAACCGCTAGACGAGGGAAAGGGAGAGAAAGATTAATATAAAACAGAGAAAGACAAATTGAAAGGAGAAACCGCCAAGGATGTGCATTAAGTAAACGATCCTGTGTGTGAATCCTCTCAGCTGATACAGTTTCCCTTTAGCATAGAATCAGAGAACATACGCGAGGCAACATTACCTCGTGAATGAGAAATATCATTCGGTTACGAACCGCTACAAAATGTATTTCTTTTTGGTGTGTGCTTCTTATTATATACCACGAGTTCCCAGTTATGCACTGAATTAGTGTTACATGCAAATGTTTTCATCCGAACTTATATATCCCACGGTAATCGTAAACCTACAACCGAAGGAGATCGTGTTTTATTTTGCATCATCCCCCAATTCTGTTTCTGTACGAGATGTTTCAGAATCTCAATACGTTTACCGAACAGCTCAGCTAAAAATCGCTTTACTCTGCCGCGAAATCTAAACCTAACACGAGATGAAACAGTTTTAAAATTCGTTCTATACCGACTAAGAACTGGTACTCCTTTCTTATCCATATACTAGATTGGTTCATAACAAAACCCCCATAAGGATTTCTGAATATGAATAAAATAAATTAAACCTTTAAAGCCCAGAAGTGACTTGATTCTCAGAGTAAACCTCGATTACTTCCTTAAACAACATTAACCTACTGATCTATGTAATGGTAAAGCGCTGTGTTTTCTTTGCGGTACGGACTGAATTCTTAAATAATATTCACACCAGCTTCGGCGTTAAAGGATTAATTACTTTGCAAAATATTAGTGGTCGAAGTTCTTACGAAAATTTTGCATTTACGTAATTCAATGATAGACCGTTTCAAAAAAACGTCCATAAGGGCAGATGAATCTACTTTACCCTTTAAAGGCTATTCCTCCGTGACACATTTTAATATTTACATATTAAGTCCCAAACGGTACCTTTATTCCTTTAGAAACTTTTATGCGCATTTCTAATTTCTTATTTAATTCCTTACAAAATTTATTGCTAAAGCGCGTTGCTATTAAATGCATAGAAATGGCTTAGAGTAGGTTGCTAAGATGGTTTTCTCTGAGGACGATGAATACATAACCTCATTTTTTTTAAAAAAAAAACAGATCCAGGATGAACAGAATAACTTTGAAGTATCTGTGTTATACCGCCCGTGCGACTTTGGTAGGCTGCCATTTCGATATTATGCGATTAAATTTCAATAAAGGTTAGATTTA